GAGAACGGCGACTTGTAGTACAACTTTAGTACGCGGAGTATCTGCGGAGCTGGAAGCTGAGAACTGGCGACTTTGTAGTGCGGAGTATCTGCGGAGCTGGAAGATGAGAACTGGCGACTTTGTGGACAGTCCGCGGAGCAATCTGTGGAGCTGGAAGCTGAGTAGTACAACTTCAGTACGCGGAGCAATCTGGGGAGCTGGAAGCTGAGAACTGGCGACTTTGTAGTGCAACTGGCGACTTTGTAGTACAACTTTAGTACGCGGAGTATCTGGGAAGCTGGAAGATGAGAACTGGCAACTTTCTAGTACAACTTTAGTGCAAGCCCCAAGCAGCATACATCCACCCACCCACTGATACACACTGACGAACAAGCGCATACACACAAACACACACACACACACACACCTCACGTACACACAGAGACCCTCACGCCTGAAATCTGTTTCGCCTGTCTCTTCCCCATGCTCACTCTTCCGCACTTTACCCCTGCAGCCTCAATCTTTCGAAGTTGTTCACATGTGGGGTTATCCGGTCCTATAATTCAGGACTCCCCGGAACACTCCCTTTGTGTTAGTTGAGTCCTCCTCTTGCGAACTTGTCAGCAAACTCCCCTGAGCGTCTGGTGTGCTGTCTCTGGACCGTCTGTCCGCACCCATCTCAGGTGTATACACAAAAACACATGACATACCAAAACTATTCCGAACTCTTCATGCATGGAATTTATGCCTACATTGACATTTGGTTCAAGACAAAGTGAAACTCAGTGAAGAATTGAAAGCGATTCAATTTCAATTGCAATCCGTGCTGAGATTGGCCATGTGCTCGCAAGCGAAGGCAGCCATGGGCCTGCAGACAAAACTGAAGGTTCCACAGTGCTGTCAGAGAATTTCAGTCAAGATCGACGTGTGCAAGTGATGATCAATGAGGTGTCAATGGTGGCTAGAGCGGTGCTATCGGCCGTCGGTCCACATGGATTCACTGCCCGTGCCCCTGACCTTGCTTGGAGACAAGCCTCTGCATTCTCAGCCTCTCGCTGCCTTGCAGCTGGCTCCCCAGCGATGTCCCTGTTGGCAGGTGAGCTGATGAAGAAGCAGTTGAAAGCTCTTCCAGACGATGCAGAGCGTGCCGTGGAAACTATGTTGAGCACAGTGGCAAAATCTGGCTGTCTCACCTCCGGAGCCTCTCAGTGGTGTTCAGTGACAGCCAGGTATCACGGACTTGCAGGGACAAGTGCAACTGGCTTCACCTCGGAAGATCATTTCAACTTTAACTTGATTGCTTCCGGTGCTCCATCGATCGAAGAGACGAGAGAGTCAGAGAGTGGATGTTGAACGCAAGCGACACGCGTATTGCGGGTGGAACCATCAGTTTTTGAGAAAGAGAGCTTTGTATTCCACTTTCGTTGAAGCGTGCTCAGGCAATTTGATGCAGAAAGACAACTTTAGAAGGCGTGGAGAACAGACGCCGACAGCACCCGTTTGCTTGAGAGTCTTAAGGTCCGTGTCTGTGATGGTCGTCATTTGTCTTCCACGGATGTCACGCAAATGGAAAGAGACACAGCATCATCCCAAGAAACTTTGTGAGCAGGTCCTTAAAGGATTTAACGCTGAATTTTGCGCATAAGAGTTGTGCACATCTTTTCGAGCCCAGAATGGCACATATGGACATATGGAGCAGTTCGTAAGGATATAAATTAAGAATTCAATTTTCGAGTTCGAGCATGTTTTGCTCATCCGTCCCAAGGTATGCTGATGCCCTTTGACGTGGAATGATGCTTGCTGCGCTAAGCTAGACCCCCCCCCCCCCCCTCCTCCCCCCCCCCCCCTCTCCCCCCCCCCCCTTCCCCCCGCGCGGGTTGAACTCCACCCTTCACCCCCGGACCGTTTCTCAGTTCCCAACCTGCTGTTGCTGTTCTTTGTCGCTCCTGCTGCTGCTCCTGTTTGTATGTTTCTTAGTTGCTGCTCTTTTGCTGCTGTTGCTGCTGTTGCTTGGTGGTTTGCTACTACTGCTGCTGCTGCTTGGTGGTTTGCTGCTGCTGCTGCTCCTGCTGCTGCTGCTGCTGCTGCTGCTTGGTAGTTGCTCCTGCTGCTGCTGCTGCTGCTGCTTGGTAGTTGCTCCTGCTGCTGCTGCTGCTGCTTGGTAGCTGCTGCTTGGTAGCTGCTGCTTCTGCTTGGTAGCTGCTGCTGCTTGGTAGCTTGGTAGCTGCTGCTGCTGCTGCTTGGTAGCTTGGTAGCTGCTGCTGCTTAGTAGCTTGGTAGCTTGGTAGCTTGGTAGCTGTAGCTGCTGCTGCTGCTGCTAGCTGCCTGCTGCTGCTTGCTTGCTGCTGGCTGCCTGCTGCTGCTGCTTGCTTGCTGCTGGCTGCTGCTTGGTAGCTGCTGCTGCTGCTGCTGGCTGCTTGCTGCTGGCTGCTGCTTGGTAGCTGCTGCTGCTTGCTGCTGCTTGGTAGCTGCTGCTTGGTAGCTGCTGCTGCTACTGCTGCTGCTGCTGCTTCTGCTTGGTACTGTACCTGCTGCTTCTGCTTGGTACTGTACCTGCTGCTGCTGCTGCGGCTGCGGCTGCGGCTGCTTGCTGCTGCTGGCTGCTTGCTGCTGCTTGCTGCTGGCTGCTAGCTGCTGCTGGCTGCTTGCTTGTGGCTGCTTGCTGCTTGGTAGCTGCTGCTGCTGCTGCTGCTGCTTGGTAGTTGCTCCTGCTGCTGCTTGGTAGCTGCTGCTTGGTAGCTGCTGCTTCTGCAGCTGCTGCTTTTGCTGCTGCTGCTTTTGCTGCTGCTGCTTGGTAGCTGCTGCTGCTGCTGCTGCTGTAGCTGCTGCTGCTGCTGCTGCTGCTGCTTTTGCTTGGTACTGTACCTGCTGCTTGCGGCTGCTGGCTGCTTGCTGCTTGCTGCTGCTGCTGCTGCTGCTGCTTGCTGCTTGCTGCTGCTGCTGCTGGCTGCTTGCTGCTGCTTGGTGCTGGCTGCTTGCTGCTGCTTGCTGCTGGCTGCTGCTGCTGCTGCTGCTGCTGCTGCTGCTTGGTAGCTGCTCCCGCTGCTGCTGCTGCTGCTTGGTAGCTGCTGCGGCTGCTTGGTAGCTGCTCCTGCTGCTGCTGTTGCTGCTGCTGCTGCTTGGTAGCTGCTGCTTGGTAGCTGCTGCTGCTGCTTGGTAGCTGGTGGTGCTGCTTGGTGGCTGCTGCTGCTGCTGCTGCTGCTGCTGCTTGGTAGCTGCTGCTGCTGCTGCTGCTGCTGTTTGGTAGCTGCTGCTGCTGCTGCTGCTGCTTCTGCTTGGTACTGTACCTGCTGCT